ACACACACACACATGCGCGCACACACACACACACAAACACATGCGAACGCACACACACACATGTGCGCGCACACATACACACACACACATACAGCAACAAGACCAACCTGCCATCTCTTTCTCCACAAACTTGATGAGAGACTGGATGAAGGAGATGATCCACCGGTCCATGTAGTTATCCGACACCACCAGCGACTTCTCGTTCACCAAGATCTTCTCCCCAGTTTCCTGACAAGTGAAATGCAGTTTTTTTAAAGTTTAGTAGAGGGTTTTACGGGCCTCGCAACTGCATAAGGTCATATGAGCGCCAAGGGGTGGGTGTCAACAGAGAAGTCTTTACAGGGAATCAGACTTACTCTGCTCACCTCTCCAACTTCAACAGCACAAAGTCAGCTTCGACTATCAAGGCACCCTGGAAATAGCAGGTCACAAGAGTGACAAAGATACAAAAGAAGTAGAGGAAAATGAAAATAGTAAGGATTAGGAAAGAAAAAGCAGCAGTTCCCTGTTGTAGATCAGGCACAGTTATGAGAGTGACATGATGAATCAGCCCATTTACAATTCTACTATGCATGAACGAGAAATGTCCCCCCTTTGGGAATGGCCTAAAGACACTACAGTCAGTGGCACTCCCCCAGGAGGTTTGAGGTTGTTAAGTTAAAGCAAAGAGAAGTTGATCGACAAAATAACAGGCTTGCCAACTCTTTTCAAAACCCAGTCAGGGACACCCGACGTTTAACATCATATTACAAAACAACAAACAAAATTACATGAAGTGGGACTCATTTTGGAGTAGTCTATGTGATAAGATTTCATATTCCAAACACATTTCTTAACTTATTTACTTTCTCCCGGTACCATCAGGAACACAAAGAAAAGAGCAGACGATGCCACGTTTGTCTCTCTCCAGCCATTTCCTCTAACCTTGACACATCCAGGCCCTGGGTGATAGCCTCATCCCTGATCCTACTTCTATAACTGCCAATACGTCTACTTTTACACATTTCCTAAAATTGATAAGACTTGTATTTCGTCTGTGAAAAGCAGAAATTCAGAATTGGCGGTAAAACTTCAATGTTTGGTCATTTTATCAGGCAGTTCACATTCTTAGAATGACAGGGCTCTAACTCCATGATGCAGTTTAGAGAAGATGGGATTCAAATACTCGCACTCTTATAGCTAAAATGTTTTTACACTTTATTTGTTAAGCATCAAACTGTAAAAAAAATTACAGGTCCGATTGTCGTGAGCTTTTGACACAGCCTGCATCTGTGTCAGTAATGTGTAACTTAGTTCTCGCAAAACGTGTAGTTAGAACCCTGTCATTCTAAGGGTGTGAAGTAGTTCCCCCTCCCCCTCACCTGCTCAAAGATGTCGACGTACTGAGCCAGAAACCTGTAGGCATTGTACCAGGGCAGGAACACGTCCTTCAGGATGTCCCTCACGCCCTGCTCCTTGAACCGCAGGTTCTCCGCACGCACAGCCGGCGAGTTCACCAGGTACAACCTAGGTCAAAGGTCATGGGTTGAGTTTAGTTTGGGAAAGAGTTTTACGGTGCTCGCAACTGCAGTAGGTCATATATGATAGGGCATGAAAGGTCAGAGGTCAAATATTGAGATAAAAGTGTGTATAGAATTTAATTTACACAAGGCATCCAATATTTGGGTACCAGCCAGGAAGCAAAGGTTGAGAAAAGGTGTCCCTCGAATTTCACTAGAACATGGCATCTAGTTATTGGGTACAACCCGAGTGAAAGTTCAAAGGTTGAGACAAAGTATACCTAAAATTTTCCTAGAAAAAGGCACCAAGTCCCTGGGTCCCAGCCCAGTAGCTGCCGGAGTACTAACAACAAGAACAGCATCAACAATAACAAAACAACAATAACAAAAACAACAACAACACAGGCTGCAACATTGGACAAAAATAAAGAACAAATGTTGAAATTGACCGAACTTTACGGTAATGAAAGAAGGGGAAATATCTCACCTTATGGCATCTGCACCATACTTTTCCACCACACTCAAAGGATCAGGATAGTTCTTCTTTCTCTTGCTCATCTTCTGTCCATCTCTGAGGAAGAAACAAGTCAATGATTGTGAGCAAGACATATCACTCTTTATGGACAAGTGCACATAACCAAACAGATTCAATTGGATTGAGTCTGGGCCATCCAGATTTTTCTCCTGGGAGGGGCAAAAACACCATTTTGGCACAATAAAACCAATTTGACTAGCAACCTTGAAAAACAATGACAGATGACTCCTGAAGATGATTGGTCTAATTTCTCAGAGTTCCCTTTAGAGCAATTCTTGTTGTTCCTAACCTTCATATGCACGATATCTCTACTATCTCTTTTACAGGTCTGAAAAAGATGCTTGGTCCTTTTTGAAAGACAATGTTCCTTTTAGTTAAAAACATTTTATTCTTAAAATTCAAGATGACATGAATAGAGGGATGGATGTCTCTGTCTTGCTTGAAAGAGAAAAACAGTGGGGACAAATAAAAACAAAACCAGATTGAACATTAACAAAACAATTGTGCAACTAAGATTTTCACTGAACCCAAGAGAATTTAGTTTCGTATGATTAAACGTTTTACCGCCCTTGCAACATAGTTAGATCATACAAGTGCTGAAGATTGGACGTGTTACTAGAGTTACATACAAACATAAGAAGAAGGAGAGAGAAGGATGAAAGACATTTGATAGGAAAAAAGAAGCAAACCACACTAGAAAACCTGCCAACCACCAACAGAGTATGTGACCCGGGGCGTTCGCACGTCTGTTTTCTTACCTGCGCGGTGTCCAGTCTTCGGACGTCTGTTTTCTTACCTGCGCGGTGTCCAGTCTTCGGACGTCTGTTTTCTTACCTGCGCGGTGTCCAGTCTTCGGACGTACGCTATTGTTGTCATATTATTGTTTTTCGTTTTGAGCTCAAAACATAAGAACAAGATAAATAAACGACAAGAAGGACGAACGTCTCTGTCTTAATCAAAAGAGAAAAACGGAGAGAACAGATTAAAAACAAAACTACATCGGACACGAACAAAACAATAAGGGTGTAACTATAATTTCCCCAGGAGCCAAGAGCAACTTACTGAGCCAGCACGAGGCCGTTGCACACCAAGTTCTTGAAGGGAGGCTTCCCAAACAGCAGCGTGGACACCACGATGAGGGTGTAGAACCTGGATACGAGATACGTCATGGTGACAAACTTTTGTTGCTTTTTTTTTGACAAGTAGACAACAGAACATGTTAAGAGAGCAGGAAAGGAGGTGAAAGGAGAACATTTCAGAGAAGAAAATGTTAGGTCTCTGTTAGATTTCAAACCCGGGGACAGTTAAATGAGAGACAAACACCACACCTCAAGACCACGCGAGCCCCTTTTTGTTGGTTCAATTTGATAGAGGTTTTATGGCACTTACGACACTTTTGGTCCAAAAAGTGCCAAACATCAGAGTTATAAGAGAGTAACTAATATACAAAAAAGAAGGAGGGTAGCAAAGGAAGACAGTAAATAGTGATAAAAGAAGCAAACCTCACCAGACTTTTGTTGTTTTTTTGTTTGTTTGTTGTTGTTGTGGGGTTTTTTTGGGGGGGTCTTGCAAATAACAATGGCCATAATATGTAAGCCAAAGGAGTTTCACATTTCAGTTGTGTCAATGGAGGTGTAAAAACTACTACATTTTCTTTTTATTGTTTCGTATTACATTTCAGTTCCATTAAAATCTCTTTAACCTGTCCAATCAAACAAATTAATCAAATATACTAACCATCCTCTAGTTTGGTCAATGCCCTCAGCAATAAAGTCAGCAGGAAAGTTGTCCTCAAACTCTTTCCGGTTCTCAAACGGGAAGTGAGCCTTGCCATAGGGCATAGAGCCAGACTCGAACCAGCAGTCAAACACTTCTGGCACTCGTCGCAGAACACCTCTCCCAGTTTTGGATGGAATGGTCAAGTCATCGATGCTGGAACACGAAAGTAAAATACTTGAATTGAGTACATTGGTTTTTTGTTGTAGAAAGAGATCTACGGCATTTGTAACACAAGTAGGTCATATAAGTGTCAAAGATTAGAGGAGTTACAAGAGAGTGACATAGAAAAGAAGCGGGAGAGAAAACGACAATAGATGTTTGATAGGAAAGAAGGAGCACATCACAAAAAAGCACCTGCCAACAGCCCAATGACTTGATCATATATTATCAAATATTTATCAGGACTTTTTTCTCCACAAGCGAAAAAAGGATTAGCTATCCCCCATCCCACATCGGTGATTAATATGGAGCAAAACCTGACATGGTAGACACCACTTATAAGAACATAAATATGGCTGCTGATCCCACATATCCCCACATGACTTTAAAATATTGAGAAAATTAACTTCAATAGCTGAAAATTCAATTAAAAAACATACTGCCTCATGTCAAACCCAAAACTAGATCTTGTTGGATGGAACATGTGACACTGAGTCCATATGACCTAATCTGACCTTTGTATCAATTTTCATATTAAGTTTTAGAAATTCAAGCTAAAAAGAAATGAAGTGAAAAAGATAAAGTCTTCAAAAACGTACAAATCCCGATGGAGGTCGTCGACCTTTGTCCCTGTCAGTTCAGTCAGTTCCTCGATGGAGCCCACACAGACAACCTGTAGAATAATGGGAAAAAAAAGCCCAAATCATTTCATGCCCTCAGACATTCACAATATAACAAGATTAACAACAACACTTACTAATCAAATGACACTGTATGAAGGATTTTACAACTCTGAGAAAAATTGTACAATATTTTCAAGCTTGGATCCCCTCTTCTTACACATTTGTGACTGTTACAGTCCATATCTAATCTTGCGTACCTCTTCTCCATCGTCGCTGACCCACAAGGGCATGGGGTTCCCCCAGTAGCGGTTCCTGGAGATGGCCCAGTCCCTGGCATCCTTCAACCAGTTGCCAAATCTCTTGTCCTTCACAAATTCTGGGACCCTAAATACGCAAAAAAAAATATGAATAAGATAACTTCCAGTTCCACACACACACACACAAAACAAACCAAAAAAAAATCCAAAACAATCTTGTGATCTCTTGTCTTTCACAAATACAAATCCTGGAACTTTTACTAACCAAACAAAAAAATGTACAGGATAATTTTCAGTTCTGCAAATGCAAAAAACACAAAAACAACATTGAGATTATTTTGACAGAGGGCTGCTTCAACCCTGTCAGTCAGGGCCAAATAGGGCCGAGAAAGTGATACTCGGTAAAATAACTACCTAACTCTGTAATCAAACTCAGAGAGTGACAGCTAATAGAACAACCATTACACCACAGAACAGACACTGATGTCTACAAATAAGAATATAAAAGACATACTGATATTAAACTGATAGCACTTTGACAGGTACAGTCAAACCTGCTCTAACGTCTCCCAAATCTAAAACAGTCACCTGAACAAGAAGCCACTTCCCACTTTCTCCCTTATATTTTTTCTATATCATGAGGACATTGTCCAAGACATCCACCTGTCTAAGACAACCACCTATCTCCTGTCTTTGACAATTTCAACTGTACTTAATCTTGGGTTGTTTTTGTTGTTGACAACAGCAATTCAAAAACATCGTACTGAGAAACTGTCTCACCAGTAAGTCTGGCTGTTGGAGGCCAGCAGTTTGTCCACAGCGTGCTCCACACGCACGAACCAGCTCGGCACCGCCTTGTAGATGAGGGGGGTCTCAGACCTGTGGGTGGGAGGGAGAATATGTAGACACACAACAGTCAATTGTATTTGTTTGTTTGTTTGTGAAGAGAAGAATATTGACACTACACAACTGCCGTCACTTAGTGCTGGATAAGAGGAAAAAGGCAGACAAAAACAGTAGTTGGAAAGCAAAGAAGTAGGATCCAAATTGTGTTTGTTTGTTTTGACAAGTGCCTGATTTCACTACGATGCCACACAAAAATATAGCAAATCACCCTCTTACATTCTTTTCAAACATAGAATGACAGTCAGATATACCCCCCCCCCCCCCCCCCACACACACCAAAAAAAACAACAAAAAAACCCCAAAATCAAAACAAAATGGTCCACAAAGATGTACAACTAAGTGTAATGTTAAACAAACAAAAAAGATGAAAACGTTCTCTCTCTATAAACATAGAAATGACTTCCTTACCTCCAGCAGAAAGGGTAACTATGTTTGATTGTGCTCTGCTGAACCAATCGTCCTCTGCCCTTGAGATTTTTCACAATCTCCTTGTCTGCATCCTGCGTGAAGAGAAAGGACAGTTAAAATATTTGTTTACAAGAACCTCTGAATCAGTGTACGTGAAACAAAATATTCGTCAAAATTATCCAAGAGAGTGACCTATGGTCAATTAAAAAAGTGGTTGCTTTAGAAAGGTGGATGTCTTGAACAGTGTCACTTAAGAACGGCAGCAATCATTCATCGACGTAAAGTGCTCAGAGCTTATACATGTATGAAATAGAGCACTATATCAATAAAATCAATTATTATAATCTTACTATCATTATTAATTCATTCTATTACTGAACCTAAAATTGTCACAAAATGGAATAAAAATCAACCAAGAAACTCCGGACTAAAAAAGAAAATATTGCGTTACCTTGACGTACATTCCCTTGAAATCTGTGACCTCCTCGGTGAACCGGCCACTGGGGTCGACCGGGCACACAATCTTCATGTCCTTCGAGATGATTCCATTCGCCAGGCAAACCCGTTGATCGTCCTACAATGACACACAGTTTTCACGATAACTGCATCGAACATAATAACTACATCGTACTACTAAAATTTATATACACCCTTAAATCACTGATCCCACCTGCCCTTTAAAAAAAAAATTACATGAATTAAGAAAAATCGACCTAAAGCTATATAAAAAAAAATAGATCTAAACATAAAAAATGAGTATCATTTTCCAATTATTCAGGGCTCCCAAATTAGTAAATATCTGCTGGTTTTAAGCCCAAAGCAAATTCCTTGCAGACCAGGCGAACAAATTTTTTAGCGCCTATCGACAGAATTTATAATAGGCATGGGCAAACTATGATCCATAAGTCGACCAGTAACGAATAATAAATGCAGCCCGTGGGGAGCTGAGAGTACAAACAAAATATCCATCTTGAAATGTATACAAGAGAAAGACACACAGCTCCAAAAATATGTCTCCCCGAGACAGAACATACAGCATCATCACTCACCTCACCAAAGTAGGGAGCCTGGTGGACAATTCCCGTACCAGCGTCTGTGGTGACGTACGTGTCCAGCACCACGCGGAAAGCCCCGGTCAGCTCTCGGAACTGGAAGGCAAATGTCATTGGTTAACATTATAAAGCTATTTCAAGGGCAGGACCTCAGAATTTAATGACGGGAAAACTTCTCAACCATTGGTAAATAGAGATACAAAAGCAAATGCAGGGGTGTACACTTAAACTGAACTCTGTGGGATGCCAGGTTCTCTTCAGTTTAGCCATGTTTTCAGTTCAGCGATATTGCTCAAATAATAATGAAAGAAATCAAAGATTCTTTTTTCTTTCTGTTTGCCACAGTTTTCGTATTAACCATCTTTGGTTTAAGTGGACTCCACTGAATTAATTAGTTTCTAATACACTCTGACGATGGAAACTCACAACTGCACATCTCAAAACAAAAAACAAAAAAAAAAAAAAATTCACAAAGCTTTCATAAGGACAAAACTCAAAACTTACCTCTTTAAAGTACTCAAAAAGTGGGGTGTACTTCTTGCCTCCCAAAGTCTTCCCTGGGAATCTGAGAGAAAAGGATTGTTTGTTTAGTTTAGTAAGAGTTTTACAGCACTTGCAACAAAAAAAAGCCATATATGCGTTGAACATTAGAGGTGTTTTAAAGAGTAACATACAGAGAAAAGAAGGAGGAGAGACAAAGACGAAAGATATTTGACAGGAAAGAAGGAGCCAACCACATCAGAATCCCCACCAACCACCAAATCCACAGTGTTGAAAATGTACCAGTAAACAAACTTAGTGAACAAAACCTGGGTTTATTTCAGTAAATTTTACATCACTTTCAACAGAAATAATTAATATATTCGTTGAAGATTAGAGGCGTTTAAAAGAGTAACATGCAAAGAAAAGGAGGAGAGATAAAGATGATAGATATTTGATAGGAAAGAAGGAGCCAACCACACCAGAATCCCAACCAACCACCAACAGTTACTACAGAAGTCAACTTACTTTTCCATGACCATGTATTCCTCTTCTGTCTTGAACAGGGCAGGGAGCCGCGCCTCCATCATGATGTAAACCTTCTTTGTCGATTTGTCTGAAAAAATCAAAAAACACAACAAATCTAGTAAAATAAGGACAAACGTGTCAACTTTACTTGTGAAACTATTAGAAAACTAACAAAGTCATCATATTTATGGTCCTTTGCATGTACTTAGTCCTTCTTTAATCTAGATAATTGGACAAATCATCAACATAACTTGACGAAATATTAGAAAAGCCCAAAGGCATATATATGGTCAATTGCACATAGTATTTCTACCCAAATATATCTGATATTTTATTTTCTATTGGTTTACCTTATGTTTTTGGATTAAATGTGTTCAGTTTTAGAAGTCTCCACTATTGTTTTATAGAGTATAGAACATGCTGTAGAAGTGGATCATCAATAATTTATTTATAGAGGCACCAGCCATCCATGTCCAGGCGCTATCTTAGCCAGTAGATGTGGATATGAGCTTTATAAATGCAATTATCATTAATTGTGTCGACGTCTTTCCTTTTACTCAAACAAACAAACAAACAAACAAACAAACAAACAAAAGACGTAACTATCCTGTGCTGACCTTTGACTTTGACATAGCTGAGGTCCGGGTGGACACAGAGGGCCAGGTTACTGGGCAGTGTCCAGGGAGTGGTCGTCCAGGCGATGATGGACACTTTGGGGTCTTCCTCCAGGGGGAACGACACGATCACTGACAGGAGAAAGAACAATTATTATCTCAGGGTTTTTTTTAGTTCTACTTAAAGTTTTACAGCACTTGCAACACAATTAGGTTGTATAAGAGCTGAAGATTAGAGGTATACTGGACAGTAATATAAGAAAAAAAGGAGGGGATTTAAAGATGACAGGTATTTGATAGGAAAGATTATGCAACAAAAACTTTGAGGTGTAGCAAGGTACTTATTCATAGTAATTATAATTCAAAACATTCAGGATATAAAAAACCGCCTAAAACACTTAAAAAGAACCAACTCGAAAGCCTCTCCAATTTTTATATTCGCTCTTGAAGTCAGCCACATTACACCATGATTGGCTCTCACAGAAGGATGATGAAAAACGTCCACTAAAAGTCACAAAGTCGTGCGAAAAGTGATGCTGTGACTCGTACACATGAAAGATTTCTCATCTGAGCAGAAACAACACATACCTGCAGGATCCACCACCTCCTTGTAGTTCTGCCCAGACTCAAAATTCGACAGAGGAGTGTTGCAAGCCGTCGAGAAAGGCATCACCTGCAAACACACACACACAAAAAAAAACGGACTTTTGAGTTTGACTTTTAAGTAGAAAGAAGCACATCAACACAATAACAGTCTTAGAGTTCTTTTAGTTTTAGTAAGAGTTTTACGGCCCTTGCAACACAATAAGGTCATATAAGTGCCGAAGATTAGAGATGTTACAAGAGAGTAACAAACACATAAAAGAAGGAGGAGAGATTTATAAAGACAATAGAGAGGTTTGATAGGAAAGAAGAAGCAAACCACACCACAGCACCTGCAAACCACCCACAGTCATAGAGTGCCGGGAAGAAGCAAGACAGATAGACAGAAACAAACAACAGAGGGAAAGAATAGAAGTAAGACCTCCCTGTGGCGCCCTCCAACCACTCGCAAAAATTTTTTCCCAGACTCGGTCGAACCAGAAAGCATTTACAACAAGCCTTCCCAATGTGCAAGGAACTAAAAAGGAAATATTGGTCCAACCCTCCGACAGCAGGACAGAGGGGGAGACTAGCCCACGACAGAAGTAAAAAGGAGAACTCTTGTTGGTTGCCTAAACACCATCACTGGGTGAGGAAAACTGATAACGATGATGATGATGATGATGATGATGATGATGATGATGATGATGATGATGATGGTAGTGCTGCTGCTGCTAATGATATTGATGATGATGACAATAGACAACGACAATGATGATAAATGTCTCAGATAACATACACACCCACCTTATAGCCTTTGTAGACCAGTCCCTTGTTATAGAGCTGCTTGAACACCCACCAAATGGTCTCCATGAAGGACGGGTACATCGTCCGGTAGTCGTTGTCAAAGTCGATCCACCTGGCTAGCCTGCTCATTATGTCCTGGGAACAGACAACAATCATGTACACACTGAGATGATTTGTTTCTATAAGAAAGAGTTTTACGGCACTTGCAATGAAATAAGGCCATATAAGTGCCAAAGACTAGAGGTGTTACGAGAGAGTAACAAACACACAAAATAGAAGGAGAGAAAAAGGGCGATAGGAAAGAAGGAGCAAATCACACCAAAGTGCCCGCCTAACACCCACATCCTGAGACGTAAAACAAAAAAAAAGACTTACACAATTGATATGGCTGTGACAATGAGAAACAAACAAAAAAGTGTTTTGGTGAAGCAGTTCAGGTGCTTTGCCAATTAGGAAGCAGATCAAAGTTCGATTCACGTCTGGGGAAAATTTTTATCAAGTGCCTTTGTCTTTCTTCTGGGAAGTTGTATCCCGCTCAGCCCGCATAGGCCCTGACAGGCGGGGTAGAAGACCATCTTCTATTTTACGACAAAAATTTAGTCAATTAGGGCAAAAAAACACCTGCATACAACATTTGAATTCTAAAATTAAAAAATGTTTTTTTCAAAAACCAAAAAACAAGGCATACTTACACATCATAACATAGCGGGAGAAGAGGTGAAAAAAACCGAAGTGGCAACAAGATTGATACAAAAAACAAAAACAACTAGGTATCATTCCATTGAGAGGATTCAGAAAAAATTAACAAAAAAATTTGAGGAAGGAAACAACTGCCTCACCCAGAGAAAAGTGTGAAAATTTTCCTTACTTTCCAGTCCTGGCTGTAGCGCTGAACAATCTTGCGACATTCATCGTTGTAGGCTTTGATCCCCATCTTTGCAACATCCTCGGGGCCCTTGATGCCCAGGGTTTTGTCAATCTCATATTCCTGATGAAGAGAGAGCATTCGATTAATGTTAAATTCCTCACGTCACAATCAAAAAGTCTATAAATGACTAGAATTGAATATATTCTGATAATTGGAGAAGGCAATACTTTTATTAAATATACACTGGATAAAGAAACAAAGAAACATTGCAGGAGAGGGAGAGGGATAAAGAGAAGGAGAGAGAGAGAGGGTGAGGGAGAGAGGGAGACAGAGGGAGAGAGAGAAAGTGAGAGAGAGAGAGAGCGAAAAGGGAGGGGGGGGGGAGAGGAGAGGAATGGGGGGAGGGGGTACATTTAATAAGCTCTCAATAATAGCAGATTACAAGACCACAGCATATATATATGGAAAAATGAAACATAAAAACTGTCAGCGTCACAGCCAAAAAAAACCCAGAAAAGAACAACAAGACAGAACATCTGAACGACAATACAGAAACAATATATATCGAAGCCATCGGAAACAAGTCAGCAACCAGCAAGGACAGCCACTCACCACGGGCAAACCGTGGCAATCCCAGCCAAACCTCCGCTCCACGTGGAAGCCGCTCTGGTGGGCCCACCTCGTGACCACGTCCTTCAGGGTGCCGGCCAGAATGTGGCCATAGTGAGGGAGGCCCGTGGCAAAAGGGGGGCCGTCGTAGAAGGAGTATCTGTTGGAGCACAAACAGGCAATCGGGTCATTATCATCAAAAGAAAGAATATGTGAGAAGTACTGACACTATAATATGAGTAACTTCTCGCAATCAATAAATGGAAACATTATTAGCATTATAAGCCGAAAATCAACACAAGCGTGACATGAAATTAATAAAAATTCAAATTATTTATACTACTAATGAATTGTACAAACCTAACCAATAAATTTGACAAATAGGGTTAAAATCTGAGAAGTTTAAATTTAAACTCATTTCATTTTGTTAACACACCTTACATTTATAAAGAGTATTCTTATGGTAAATTACACACTGGGAGAATTTTAAAATATTTTTTTTTTGTGTTGGGAAATAATTTTACTTATTATACGATATAAACAAGAGATGACAAAAAAAATTTCCTCCCCAATTCTCTTTCTGTCACACAAGAAATTTCCTGTTCAAAACATGAAGATGGCAAACTGATTCTTAAACAGCACTTTTAAAAATCTGTTTTAAAACTGGAATTTAATTTCAAACAAGAACCTTTCTTTAACCAGAAAGTGGTGTAAGCAAAGTTCAGGACATCTTACTTACTTTGGTTTGCCTTTAGAGAGCTTCAAAGAAGTCTGGAAAGCATCGATTTCTTTCCACAGCTTCAAGACTGCTTCCTCTTCCTTAACAAAGTTTATCGCATCTGTTGCCCCCTGGGCCATGGTGCGGGTTTATAACAAGCACTTCCTGTGTGAGAACTCTGAAAATCTAGACTTTTCCTTGGTAATCACCGTACGCATGGGCACCTGTTGGCAAAAGAATAAAAGCACATTTTATTTGTGTACAGTTGGACCATGTAAGGTTTTCCTATACTTCCAAATAACAATTTTACCATCACTTTGATGGAAAGAGTTGTCAAAGTTAATGTTAGTTTGAGTAAAGAGAAGCACATCGCGGTTAACGGTAAATATACTATATATAGTGAAGGAAGAAGCAAGACAAGACGGACAGTAATTAATATCAAATTATGTAGAAAATCTTTTTTTTTTTTGCATACATTTCATTTTACATTCAAGTTATATAGAGACCTTTAGATTATATTACACTTAAATTTTGGTCTCACTGAGGTTGCGTAGTTATATTAAGAGTGTTGAAAAAAATACGGGGAGTGTTCAGGGGGACATGCCAATGTGTGTGAAATTTTTCCAAAATTTTATGTTTTGCAATAGCTTTAAGTCTTTAGAAGTATAAAAGGTTTGAAATTTTCTTGAAAACAATTGATTTGCGGTGGCTTTAGTGGCCATACGTGTGTTAGGCAGCCAAAAATAGACTAGATATATGTCATACTATGACAAGTATGGTGGTTTGCTTGGTCCCAAATGCAGAGCACCTGCATTCCGGAGTGAAAGGAAAAATTTACCTTTAGTTCGAAACAGCCACCCAACACTACTACTACCTACCTTGATGAACTGACAAACTAAAACCAAATCAATCACAACTGTGACAACAGCTGTGCTTTTATGTCTTAATCAGCCATGAACTCATTAACTCATGATCACAAAAACTAAAAATTATAGTTAGAATCTAGAGATCTAGCTAAATAAAGCAATCACATGACATAGAAAACAAAATTATCAACTAACAGCTGTCCTGTCAAGGACAACAACTGCTATAGATCTAATGCAATAACATGCAATAGCTAGGCTGGACAACAAGTTCGTCTGAAGAAACTTTCTAAGAAAACTGGAAATGACATTATCATTATCAGTTCCAGTCTAGAGAGATCTGAGAGGGGGGAGGGGTGAAGAAGGTGGGTTGGTCTCAGCAACAATTACTATGACTGTAACAATGATATGACGAAATCCTGTGTCACTGAAGTCAAACTGACCGGGAGCAGTATTTCCCTGAATAACAGACAGTAGACGGTATAGCCGTCCAAAATAGTTTTATTGAACTTACGAAGCTATTGCATCATATCCACTGCCACAACAAAAAATGTTGTGATCGGTCTGGCCGAGTGCGACTGCTAGGCAAGCACAAAGTGACAACAAGCCGCATGGAACACACTTCCGGATTGAAAAAGGGCAAGAACTGGCCTGAACACATTGACACGAAATGTCACTTCCTGTTACAACAAGTTTGTTTACCTGGCCTGCTGGCAAACGTCGTGGTTAGAGCTGACTGAAAAGACAACAGAACAGAACCATGACGAATGGTTTGTTAAATGAAATGATATTTATGAATAAGATTTTGTTGATAAATACTTTTAATTGTAGTAATAAAGCCTTCACTAGTCTATAGGTGGTAGACTCTATGTCAGTGGTAGGCAAAGCCTCCGCGACGCTCACCACCCACAGCACAGCCCGAGTCGCTGACACCACTGCTGCACTGATCAAATTTTAACCTGGACGAAGTTCTGTACCGTTCTTAGTAGTGCAGAGCTGATTCCCATCCTTGATCCATACGTTCCTATACCAAAGCAAACTAAACACAGGAGCTTTCACCAAATAAATCCAATTAATTTTACGAAGTGACTATTGCTCCGAACATTCGGGGGAAAAAACTTGAACTCTATTTCTCCGAAAGGTTTCCGTTCTCGAGATATTTTGGTTATTTGAGAGATTTCGGCGTCATCTTTCATTCTGCGAGGACTGGGAGGAAGCATTTTTGCATCAAATTCAATTTCTAGAGCTAAATCTAGACTAGAGATTTTTTAAAGTCTGAATATTCAGGTGGTTGGGGCAATGTTCCCAGACTATACTTCATTTGATGCCTTCTAAAGGTACTGCGAGAAAACAAGACTGTTCGACTTTGGCAGTAAACTATTTTGCATTTAGTCACCCCTAAAACAAAAACTAAAATCCTTCATATCATGTAAACAAAAAAAATCCCTCCACGCCCCCCCTCCCCCCGCAAACACCTCACACACACACACACACACACTCACTTACTCACGCACACACACATGCGCGCACACGCTAGGGCCATTCCAATTTTAAAAAGTCTCGAGAACAGAAATTAAATCGTTTGTAGAAATAGAGTTCAAGTTTATTTTCCCGAACGTTCGGAGAAATAGAGCCAGCCTTAAGTTTTAAAAGGAAGTGGTTATTCACACCCCTTGTGATTGTGAGAATAGCCCATGTCTCGCTATTCTCACCCCCTCGTTTTACCGGAAATGATCCTAGGGATATCAGATCGTGTCTGGCCGGGAAAATTTCATTTGGCTCTCTGTCTCTTTTTTGGCCCCAAACTCCAAATATTCAAGAAGAAGGGAAAAGAAGAGGCAAGAAAAAAAGAAAATGAAAGAATTTAAAAAAAATTGAAATGAAGAAAAGAGCTTGGATTGTTTGATTATTAAACTAGTCAACACGATTTAATGCCCTCGCCCATTTGGTCTGAATAATTTACAACCCTTTTCTACCGTCGGGCAAGAGCATTTATTGTCATGTCATGTGCTTGTGTCTGGTCTCGTTAAGTTTGTACACACGCTCTCTGTTCCTTTTAAAACCATTATTTATTGTGTGCAGGGGGAGAGTGAGGGGCCTGCCATCGTTAAGTGTGTAAACAACGAATGGTCCGGCCGGCGGCCGGTCCCACATCTCGCTCAGTAGCGTTGGTAGTGACCCTTTTTTTTTATACTGGAGATAGGATATTATTTTAGACGGCCAAGAGATGTTTATGAGTTATGATAGAGATTTGCTATAAAAAATCTTGATAGAAAGAGAAGAAAAGAAAAGTAGTCATCTTTGAACGGCCAACCTTGGGACGAGCATGAAGTTACCGGTATTGTAAGGCTGGCAGTATGTTACAGGGTTTTTTAATACAGGTTACATTGCACAGACTACCTTTAGAATGTCAGGGGAAATGATTCTGCTGTGATTAAATGAAGAACAACAATAAAATGGCTTATTTCCCTTTGCCCAAACTTTCATGAAATTGTTTTCAGGAGGAGATTATGGTTTTGGGTTTTTTTTGCAGTTCTAGGGAAAATAACAAAATATTATGTAAGTATAATAATTACATGTAATTTTGTTGTTTGTTTTTTTAATTCTCTGAAAGAAAAGTCAGTCAACCTAGGTTTGTATAACAGCCTTACTCTTGTCTTATTTCAGCGTATTCTTTTGAGGGCATTCTCATAGTGAGTCTGCTGGTCGTCTGTACGTGCGCCTACATGCGGAGGGTGCCGCGGCTCCGACAATGGTTCCTGTCAGAGAGGAAAGGATTCCTGGGAGTTTTTTACAAAGGTAAGACACTGTTCTATTCTATCTCTATCAGTTGATGTGCATGGAAACAAGTTCTGTTTGCTGAAAGAAACTCTTAAATTTCAGCAAAACTGTGAGTCCTCATATTGGTTTGTTATATAGAAAAAATATTTAAAAATCATGTAAAAACAAAATCCTTTTAAATTAAGACTTACAGATGGTTTTTCTTTCCATTTTTGTGAACTGATTTATTTCAAAAATCATAAATGAAGTGCATTGCTCATTTTTAATGATACTTGAAAATAACTATCTGCACCTTCTGATGTGTTTCTTTTCTTCAGAGCCACCGCACATTTGGTACTGGATACATAGATAGTAAGATTAAAGATGAAAGTATCAGACATTGAAAAGAAATCAGACCCCTCAGTGGCACCATTGTACAAAAAAAAAAAAAATTATTACATTACATTACATATGACAATGACAATGACAATGACAATGACAACAATGACAATGACAATCTTTATTCATCTCGTAGGGAGAAATTTGTCTTGGTCGTTAACAATGGCAGTAGACGTTACAAAGGTTAGACTTAAAGGTGCACTCACGCAAACGCACAACAAGACAGGACATTTTGCCAAGTAAATACATGTCTCACGGGCTGGGACAACCCGCTCCGTAACACATTCATTCTCTCTCTCTCTCTCTCTCTCTCTCTCTCTCTCTCTCTCTCTGTCTCTCTCTCTCTCTCTCTCTCTCTCTCTCTCTCTCTCTCTCTCTCTCTCTCAATCTCTCTCTCTGTTTCATTTGTAGCACTGTGTGTTCAGTAACCTCACTGCAGTTGGTACGAATGAATTTCTATATCTGTCTGTTCTTGCTTTTTTGGAAATGTATCGTTTACTGCGGGTCGATGGTTGAAATTCCGATGTCAGTGGGTGGCTATGGTCACTAAGCATTATTTCCGCCTTTTTTAGAACGTTTGTCTTGTGCAGATATTCAAAGTTACTTAGGTCTCTATCAATTGTTCTTGATGCCTTTTTTATCAACTTATTTAGTTTTATAATGTGCTGCCTTCCCAGATTGCTACCATAGCAAGTGATTCCAAAATTGATCAAAGTTTCTATTGTGGTGGTGTAGAAAATCTGAAGGATGGATGGATTCAGATTGAAAGACTTTAGTTTCCTCAGAAAGTACAGCCTCTGATTTACTTTTTTAACGATATTGTTTACGTGGTTTTGCCATGTAAATTTGTTGTCTATTGTAAGGCCAAGATATTTGTATGAATCCGTGATTTCAATAGTTTCTTGTTCAATTACGAGTGGTGGGATTGTTGGTTTTTCTCTTCTAAAATCAAAAATCATTTCCTTTGTTTTTGAGAGGTTCACTTTTAGAAAATTTGAGTTGCACCATTTAAAAAACCTACATATTTCTTCGAAATACTCTTGTTCATCATGGTTTATTAATCCAATAATAGCGGAGTCATCTGCAAACTTAATTAAGCGTGTTGTTTTATAAATACTTCTATGATCGTTGGTATATATAGTATACAAAACTGGTGACAAAACACACCCCTGAGGACCGCCGGTGTTACAAAGAATTGTGTCAGATTTTGTGTTGTTTAGCTTCACATATTGTGGTCTACCTGTCAAAAATTCCAGGACCCATGCTGCGATATGATGACTAACTCTCAGACTCAGAAGTTTTTCAATGACAATATGCGGTTGAATTGTATTAAATGCTGAGGAAAAATCTACAAAAAGTACCCTCGTATACGTTTTAGATGTTTCAAGGTGTTTCAGTATAGAGTCACAAAAAACAAGTACAGCATCTTCTACGTTCCTCTCTTGTTTGTATGCAAACTGGAATGGATCTAGATTTCCATGAACACGGCCTAGAATATTAGAGAGGATCAATTTTTCAAGGCACTTGAAAGCAATGGATGTAAGAGCGACTGGTCTTAAGTCATTTAATTCATATATTTTAGGCTTTTTTGGTATTGGTATTACCTCCGATGTTTTCCATATTGTAGGAATGTAGTTTTTGTGTAGGGTCAGGTTAAAAATGAAGGTAAATATCGGGGCCAGTTGCTCACAACAAGTTCTTAACACTCTCCCTTTTACTCCGTCTGGACCACAGGCTTTGTTTATGTTTACACTTTGAAATTTCTTTTTAACACTCCGCTCACTGAGCTCAACACACTCCTCCCTGCTCAACTCGTCTCTCAGGCTCTGTTTAAGATCACGCTGCTCATTCTCAAAATCAAAACAGTCGAAACGACAATAAAAGTTGTTTAGCTCATTTACATAGTCTCTTTCATTTTTTACTTGCACACTCTCTCTCGCTGCAGTATAACCCGTTATTTTTTTCAAAGATGACCACATATTTCTCATATTATTTGTCTGAAATTCGCTCTCAATTCTAGTTTTGTACGCTTGTTTACAATGAGCAATCTTTCTTTTAATTTTTTTAGATATCAAGTACATTTCTTTAATGTTATTACTTCTAAAGGCTTTCCGTTTTTCTTTTATAAGATCTTTCAGTTCTTTCGTTACCCATGGCTTATTATTTGGATAGTACGTAAGGGTTTTATAAAAAGTAACAGTTTCTTCACAAAACTTAATGTAAGCACAAATGGTTTCGGTAAGTTCGTCAAGGTCCTTGCAGGTGTCTTTGAACATGTCCCAGTCTGTAGAGTCGAAGCATCCCCGTAGCTGCTTGGTCGTGTCGTCTGTCCATGATGGTATCGTCCTGGTCGTTGGTTTCTTTGTCTTGAGCAGGGGGCGGTACTTTGGGATCAGAAGGATGTTGTTGTGATCTGAGTCTCCCAGCGGTGGAAGGGGGAGAGACTTGTAGCCGTCCTTGACGTTGCCATAACACAGGTCGAAGTGATTGGAGAGGGATAGGGAAATGGGTGATAGGAGGAGGAGGGGAAAAAAACCAGAGCAAAGTTCAGAACTTAAATAAGGAGAGGGGAGGAAATGGGAAACTTATTTGTGTACTGATTGGTACTGAATAGTAGAGGGGTTTTTTCTATTCCATGTTCTGTTATTTGTAGGTCCCATTGTTTTTGGGTGTAACTTTACCTTCTCAGTCGGTTCCTTTTGGCATGTCATTCGTAATGGATTCAGTGAACTGGACAATGCTTAGATATAATGTACTCTCAAACTCAGTACAACCTCTATACTATATCTGTCCGAGTTCCTGGTGGCTGATTTAAAGAAGGTGGTGTCTGAGGGATGTTGCAAGGTTTTCCCTCATGATTCCTTTTAGTAAAGCAAATATAGCAGACTGATCTAATTCTAATGAAGTTGAATAATGAAAAGGGATACATGTACATATCATGTTTAAGTTGTGTTGAAGTAAAACCCAATGTATTGAGAGTAAGTTCTATATAAAAATATAGATGTGAGAAACAAATAATTTTAGTCTCTCTTTTCAAAAAGATTTCACTAGCTGTTGTTCATCTCTCTTTTTCAGCATCTGTGATAGGAACTCGCCTCCCGATAGCAGTGGCCTTGACGTGTAGCATGATGGCATTTTATGTCATGATATTGAAATGATGTCAGCCCATCGCAGAGGATGTTCAGCGTGTACATAGACTTAAGCATGCCAGAGAAGTTTGTGTGACTTTTGGAGGTGATACTCATCTGTTTCCTGTTGACGTTGTTGTGATTTGAGGGAGCACATTTTTAGAAGCTACGGTTCTGATGGGATTGTACAGTGAAGCATGTCGTATGATGAGAACGAATGAATTAAATTGTTGGTATTTTGTGTAAAAGGGATATAATGTGGCCATCTCACCGCAAATTTATTCTTGGTTGTTTGTTTTTTTTAGTAAACCTTGACTTATTATATGTTTCCTCAAATATACATGTATTAAAATCTGTAATTAAGTTTGGTATTTTGAACTGATAATGAAACTGTCTTCGATGTTTATTCAGATGAGGCTATCATGTATTCTATTGCTGGCTGGGCGTGTTGAGCTCTGCTTCCCTCTCGGTTGTGTGACTTCTTGTACGACTCACAAGTGACAGGTCCACTGCCAAACCTTTCCAACAAGGGCTGCCTATGTCGTTACAAGATTTGACTACTTGAGTCTAATGCTTTATGGGAAGCTTTATGCTATCCTGTACCTACTCCTTTTTTCCAGTTTTGACGAAAGTCACTTTGGAAGCACTGAGTGACAGTGTTGAAGAGGGAGTTAGTATGAAATTATAAACTGAAATTCTACAGAACACTGGCTTTGCCATATCATTGTAATTTAGGCTGAAAAGGAAGGATTTATCAAGGGCCTTGACAGATGTGGAAAAAGCTTATATAAGTCTGAAATTAAAATTACAGTAGTAAAAGACAGCATTCAGCTCATACTGTGGATGCTCACAACAGCTGAAACAAACCTTCGTGTGTGCCTCTGTTTGGTTTTTTAGGCCAAAGGATGAGTGCTCTGGTGCTGGTTTTTTGGTCTTTTTTTTCTAAGTTCTTCTAGCAGTTGTGTGTAAATTAATGTCCCTACTTAAATAGTTTGATTATCAAAAGGGTGAATTTGCTGTTCTGTCTGTTGCTACTATGATGGACAATGGTGTGAGCAGCACCACTTCATCAACTCCTATTTAGGTCAACTTCTCACCCTGGTGGCTTGGCCTTGTTTAGGATAGATGTTTTGGGGACGAGAGATGCCCATGATCATGGTTCACCATTCATTTCTCTACTCTGATGCTTTAAAGAAAACAACTCATTATCCTGGTCTTTCCCCGCCATCTGTCTATTAATCTTTCCCAGTCAAAAATTTTTAAAATCTGAAATAAACCTAGGTTACAGGATCTTTTTGCAGAGTGAATGTGAAAAGTAAGAGAAAATTGGTATCATGGTTAAAAATTTTGTGTGTAAATGCTTCTTTGTTTCCTTTCATATTGAAAGTTGCATATCTGTGTCATCTCAAGTGTGGGCATTGATCCCTCTCTGCAGTTCATCTTCCACCTGCCATAAATTCCTGGATGAATGGTTTGTACAGTGTTAAAGAGGATGATGATGACAAATGTGTTTGATGAGTATATTGCTTGTGTAAAGTTTAGTTTTCTATATGAGCCTTATTCTTGTGGGTGGTTTGTGGGTGCACCGGTTTGGTATGCTCCGTCTACTTCTTTTGGTTTTACTTTAGTGCTAGTCTTTTTTGGAGGGAATTGCTTCTGTCATTACTGGTGTCTCTGATGTCGTGGTTAGACGCTTCGCTGTTGCATGCAGAAAATGTGAGTTCGATTTCTGCCTGCGGAGCATTTTCTTTTTTTAAATTACATTTCTTCTGGGTTTGACCAATAGATCGGTAATAGCTGCATTTAATGATTTATATTTATGCAAATGGGATGCTGTTCATTTCTGAACTCTTTCGCGATACTGTATTGCTGGTCTTTGTGAAATACGGTCCTGTATTCTTGTATGAAATACAGTCTAGCACATACAAAGTTAACATGCACATAGGGAACAGATTTTCAGGTTCCGAATTTTTCTTACCATGTATATTTTCTTTGTATTTAAAATTAATATATGTGCAGTGAAATATGTGTCACGACGCAGTGGAATCAGGCACTCGTCAATTTTGGGGCATATGGAGTTATTGGTATCATCTTAAACTTAAAAGTTGTTTATTTGCCTTGTTTTTTATTTTTTAAAATATAATTTTATCTTGAATAGAAGTCGAGATATTTGTGTTTGAAGGAGGTTCGGTCACTTGGTTTCAAGAGGTAGGATTAGTGAGAAAATGGCTGCCAAAGTTTGGTGACTTTCATAGCTTAAGAGTCCTTGGAAACTGCAAATTTAAATTTGTTGTGCCTCTAATCAGCGTTTTTCTATAAGATCCTCACTTAAAGGTGTTTTAAATGGACATACAAGGTGTTGAACCAAAAAACAAAAATTCGAAAAATATTTCCAAACTGGCTGAAAAATTGAGATTTCTAGGATTTCTTTATTTTGACGAGTGCTTGATTTCACCATGATACCTGAAATATGTACATTTCGAAAAGATTTCTGCTTCCCACCACTTTTGCTATGTGCGTGCTAGACCGTACATGCTCAAATCCTTACTGTCTAATGTTTCAGCCTAGTATTATTACATGCATTGCAGGACCTTTATGCCTTTGTGGACTCTTGATTATGGATGCACTGTTATTGTAGACTTACTTATTTGAGGGATGGTCCTGGAAAACATGATCCATAGCCTGCACTTCCACCCCCACACTACATACACAAACACGCACACACACAAACATGCACACTCACAAACACACAGACACCCACTTAATCTGACTCTACCTCTGTGAAAACCTTTTCACTTCTCTGTAAGCCATAATTAAAGTCTTTAACCCTTTTTCCTTGTTCTAGTCTGTATAGGGATTACATCACTTTTTACTTTATGTCGTTTGTGGATGATTAGGGATGGGGGTCCAGTGGAAAAATAGCAAAAAATATTTAGGCTGGCCTCGAGGAATAAATGAGCAGTCTGGTGGAGCTGATCTGCAGATCCATACAGTTTCTCCTGCAGGTCTGAGGGGTGGTGATAATAATGAAAGTAAAACTTATTCTTCAGACATTGACTGCTTAGATTTAGCCCCAAGGCCTAAAAAAGGTGTAGCAGGTAGTAAAAGTCTACTTTTGAGGCTCCCATAATTTTTTTTAAAAGTTAAATTTGAATTTGTCCTTCGCTCATGACTGCGTGTCCGGAGTGCAGGGATGTTGCTTCCTGAAACAATGAACAAAGAACAATCATGACTGCATGGCAATCCACATGGGACTCCACAGAGAGCTGAGACCCTAGATATGTGCATGGCAATCCACATGGGACCCCACAGAGAGCTGAGACCCTAGATGTGTGCCTGGTGCGTTGTAGGTCAAACAAGTTCAGAATGGAAACCTGAAGTAGATTTATCAGGGATGCCAAATCTCCAGGTTTTCCGGCATTTTCGTGTTTTTTTTATCCGTTGGAATACACTTGCAAAGGGAAAGGGAGAGATAAGAGAGATGCTCATTTAAAAACTTTACAAGGTTCGTTTGAGGTGAGATGTGATGCTCCGCTCATTTTCAGGTTCTTTTTTTTTTAAATCACCAAAATCATTTGGCATCCTGATTTATAACATGCAGACATGCAGATGATACGAAGCAAGTGGGCAGAGCTATCATTCATTAAATAAATCCTTTCACTTTCACGTTACAAAAGTATGTTCCATTTTTATGTATTATTATTGTATAAACACAATGTATGGTGGAGTTTGCTTAATCTGCTGTAATCTGCTGGTCAGTCAAGTTTTCTTAGGTGTGGCAAAAGGTTTAGAGAAGCTGTTCAAATAGGGAAGAAAAAAAACATCTGGAATTTTGTTTTCCTTTACCGCTGTTTTAAATAAAAAATCGTGTCTGGTTAGTTAAAGTTTAAGCGGACTCCACTGTACGTATTGATGAACTTGGGGTTATACACATCGTATGTTACATGATACATTTTTTCCTTTTTTTTTCCTGGGATGTTATCACAATAAACAATGATTATGAAATAAAAATTACATGTATTATTTTTTTCTTTCTTTTCCTGATTTTGCTGTGTGTTTGTGTTGTTATACAATTTAAATAAAAACATGTCTCCTCCGAACTGCGTCGTGGAACCTGGAGACGAATCACAGAGACTGGTGTACCGTACTGAGAAAAAATGGAAAGACTTGGAATAAATTTGAATAACTTCAGGGGGCTAGCCCAGGATCATAGGGGAAGGTGGAAAACTGGTGTCTGTGGTGGAGTGGATAATATGTACTTTTCTGTCGCAAGAGTTCGATTCCCAAGTAGGGAGAAAATTTTTATTGAGTATCTCGGTCTTTCTGCTGGGATGTAGGCCTATCTCTGTCAGCCCGTTTGGCCCTGACTGTAGGCAGGGTAGGAAGTCCTCCTCCTAAATACTAAATGATCTAACTTGTGTCTTTGGGGGTGTAAAAAACACCTATAGTTAAACATGATATGGAAAGTGGAAACTTGTATGTGCCTATATCCTGAATCATGGTGGGAAAGGCAGTGATGATGATGATGATTTTTTAAATTTTAATTTCCTTAATGGGCCTGGTGGACTCCTCGAAGAAATCTTCGAGAGAGAGCAAGGCTCTTTTTCGGCTCCATTGTCATTATACTCAGATACTTTTTTTTTTTTTTTTTTTTGGGGGGGGGTTAAGAATCTCCACCCATTTGGTTCAGTCCTGTCGTAGATGGACGTAAAATTCGGAGGTCCAACCTCATTGTACTTGTACGCAGCAATTTTCTCGTTGTACACAAAGCGTGACAACGACGCATATCTATCTACTGTCATCTTAAAAGTGCTTAAAATTAAAAGAGTTTTTTCTTTACTTGGTGTGAAGGTGCATCAGCGTAATATTATGAGCTTACAAGAGATTCGTATCTCCTCAGCTACAGCTTGAAGCGAACAGAATGAATTTGAATAGATAATTATATAATGGATTTATCGCTTTTTGTTTCTTCACCATAACTGCGACTTGTTCTTCTCTTTAATGAGACAATCCTTTTCATTTTTTTTTCAGTTTGTGTGACATGAATGCACTGGTAAAGATTGGTTTCTTCTTTTTTTGGTATTACTCAGCTAAAAATTGTACTTGGGTGAAAACTTCAAGTCTGATCAAATGCAACATCATGATATGGTACCTGTTCTTCATATCTTTCTCAGTAGCTGGACTTTGCTTTTTCCAACTTGGCGCTCATATTATGACCTTATGCAGTTGCGAGCGCCGTAAAACCTCTACTAAAACTAAAGCTTTTCCAACCCTCCTGCGATAAGAACGCTGTCTTTAGTCCTTCTATCAACCTGAGTTGTTTTGTCTCCAAGCCAGGTTTCTATACCTTGTCGTGTTCTCATCTTCTGTTAGGCCTTCCCCTTCCCTTCTTTCCTTCTACTTCTATCTTTGCTTCTATTTCTAGAATAGATTTCTTGATTGAATCATGACGACTGTTAAAAACAGTGATATGCCTAAAGAAAGTAGTTCAGTTTTATTAAGTTCTGGGAGAGCGTTGGACGTTTCTGAACTTCATTCTTTAATTCTGCATTCACGCTATTCTTAGGCTGCCATTTTCTTAGAAACTGAATGAGATGTAAACCTGTCCCCGTCATTTTATGCAAGAAAATTCTGAAATTATGCAAAATGAGCCAAAAAATGTGAAATTATGCGATTCTGTTAGATCTAATTTTAACAAAGAATGATAATAGTAAATGACAAAAAAATAGGCAAAAAATGATCAAGTTTCGCTAAATTAATTAGGCGGGGTGCATAAAAAAACGGTATCTAAATTCCCAGGAGACATTATAAGCCCAGACCTTTCGCATGGGAGCAGATAAATTATAAATTCGGCATACAGTTATAGTTACCTTGCAAATTTAGTTTTTGGTACGGTACCTAATTTTTTACTCAGTTTGGTGATTATTTTAAGCAGATAGGTCAAAATAGTCAAATAGGAGCGGAAATACGATAGGCCTTCAGTAGGCCTATACAAATAAATAGTGTAATAATGTGCTTATGTGAACAGCTTATGGTTGGATATTATGGAGGACTCAAAGAGACACTTAGAGAAGCGAAAAGAAAGATTGGGGATGGGAAAACTCTTGGGGAAAGTGTTAAACTTAAATCACTCTTGAAAAAAAGTGTGCCTTTGTTTGCGATAATGATTTCCTGTACCTTTTGCCTCAATGCTAACTTGGTTTGTATTGTTGGGTTGGGTTTTTTTTTTGTATTTGTCTTTTTCCATTTTTTGACATGGATTTTTTTGTTTTTTCGCCATGGGATTTTCCCCCTTTTTGTTTCACTATGTTCAAC